AATATTTATCATCATTGTGTACACCAAGGACTAAAAAGCTGGCAATGATCTGAAGTGAGTTATCCAGCTCTGTTCCATTTAATATTGTTCTTCTTGGATGTTGTTGTATTGTTAAATTGTTTCCAGTGGCATTGGCTCTTGGGTTGCCAATGTTGGTCTTTTTCAAAGAAATGGATGAACTGTACTGATATTTTCTTGAGTGGCAACAAAAGATGACATCCTGCCTTTTGGTGAATAAGACAACTATTGAATAGATTGGCACCAAATTTGGACCAAGCATTTATTTTAGAGGATGAATCCTGATGACACATAACCAATTAGTATTACGTTTAGAGAATCAATACAGTTTTATATTTTCTGTCACTCAATAAAGCTAATGTGGTTTGTTTGATTTTGACCTTTTCAACAATAACCAAGGTTTTTACGGCTGTAAATTGGATTGTATGTAATATAAGTTTATAAAAGGGCCTCAAAAAGCTGCCAGTGCCTGGAAGGGAAGGTGCCAGGTTTCTTCCATTTCAATATAGTTCCTCTAAGATGAGAATAAATGGTGTGCTTCCATTTATGCTAGTAGCATTAGCTATAAGGATCCCAATGTTGGTCTGTCTATTCATCCGTCCACCAACTATATCTCACAAACTGGTGGATGAATTTTCATGGATGAACTGTGCCAACATATCCTTATGTCCCAACAAAAGGGCAAAAACTTTCCATTTTCATGAGATAACTTGACAAATAGGCCATAAATTGGTGCCAGATTTGTAACAAGCATTCATCCCATGGCATGAATCCCGATGTCACTTTACTAATTAGTATCACATTCATAAAATCAACCCAATTCTATATTTTCTGTCACTAAATAACTGATTTGGTTTGGTTAATTTTTACCTTGTCACTAATAATCAGTATTTTACTGCAGTCAATTGGTGTATTTATTATTAGCACGCATACCAAGGACCAAAAAGCTGGCAGTACTCTTGAGGGTAGCCAAATCTTTTCCATTTCAATATTTTTCTTATATGAGAATTAATGTTGTTGGGTTTTTAGTTATATATAATTATCTTGACAACTATTGAATGGATTGGCACCAAATTTGGAACTAGCATTATTCCAAAGGATGAAACCTGCTGATACACATGAACCCTTGACTTTTCCTCCAGCACAACCCCGGGATTGACATTTTTGCTTTTAATTAAATATCTTGTCAAATATTTGGATGGATTGCTATGACATTTGGTACAGATATTCATGTCCCCGTCAGGATGAATTGTAATCACCTTCGTGGTCTTCTGATTTTTTCTCTAGTGCCACCCTTAAATCAAAATTACTGTGGTTAAAGGCCTCTGGAAATTGGGTTTAGAATAGTAAAAATGCTTGTATGATATCAAATCTGTGTCCCATGAAGCCTCCATCAAAATCTGAGCCAGACTACACTTAATAGCGAGGAAAACCTTAAACAATTTTGCCCACTTTAATGTGTAGAACATTTCTCAAGACAATAGACATTTTCAGACCGTAGAACTTCCCATAGTTCTAGGAACCGCTGAACCCTCCTCCTTTCTTATTCATTCCACACCACAGGAACTATAACTATTTTATTACCTAGAACCCCGTTAAGAGAACCTTTTTAGCTCATGCTTCAGAGTAGGTACCATGGTGGTGTGTATGCAGACAAAAAAGTTCCCATGGTGTGTAGTTCTCAGGGGACTCCCTAGTGGATAGTTCCTCTTCAAAAAGTCCCCAGAACTATTTAGTCTGACACACCTATTGTGTTTGTGTTTGGCCTATTCCTCAATCAGATTAGTGCAGCCCTGAGTCAGAATCAGAATCAGTCATTAAAATTGATTTATTGAAGTAGTAACTGAATGTTGAATCACAAAGTGCTTTGGTACCCTTGTCCTATTTCACAGTCACATTTGTGGTGCAAATGTCCACAAAGCTATGTATGCTAACCAAAAGCTGTTGCATAAGCCAGCGCAATATTTGCACTAAGATAAACTACCGTCGCCAATGCTACACCCATGCTGTTGAATATAGATAACTAAAACCAACTTTAGGTATCCAAAAAATGAACAATTGGCAATACCCTCTGCCACTAATACCTGACTGGATAGCCCTAAAGTGACTTTTTTTCCCAGTGTGTCTCATTCTAAGTAGCAATTATTGGCATGCTTACACATTATAACATTTTCTTTCAATGCATTTAGCTTGCTGGTACTAGCATTTAGCTGACAGCTTCAAATAGCAATTGGCATTTGTGTGTCCTGTTACTGCGGTACACAACCAACCTTGCAACACTAGCCGCCATGAAGCGTTTGCTAGCAGCACATCAGTGAGAATAAAGATGATCTCAGTTTAGCAGCAGAATAGCAACATGACACCTCCTTAATAACACAGCTCATCAGGAGAAATTAGCAAGATGTATGCTGTGTTCCTCTGGCTTGCATGGAACACTCGGGCTCTAAGCTCCCTCTCTTTTGAACATCACACCCCGCAGAAAGTACACTATCTATCTCCCTTCAAAAAGGCACGACTCAATCAACCTCCTGACAAGTGCTGCCATCCTTCATTTGGACACCTGTGTTATCCAATTGGCAGTGCTCACATTATTGGCCTGCCTCCCCCCCCCCCTTGCTGGCTGCTAGATGCAAACCCGCTGACTCTGCACAATAGCAACTTTCTATGGACTGCTGGACTCGTCTGCTGGGGGGATTTTTTAGCTGAGGTTCCCTCTAATCGTGCTAATTCAGAATCGGCCAGGACCATTCCAAAGGGTGTGTTCTTGGTGCCGTATTAATCTTTTGGTGAACTGATGCTGAACTCTTTATCAGCAAGGGGGGAGGGTATATAATTGCCTGAGAGAAAGGCCGGGGAGGGAAAGAAGAGGCGAGACGATCCCCCCCTCACCCTCCACACTCTCCACTATCTCACTCATGCTCAACAAATATCCTGCTGCTGTTTGCCAGCACTTTTTTTTCCCTCCCTTACAGTGTGAAAGCGGAAAAAAAAGGTTCTCTGGACAGCTTCTTTTATATTCAGCACCAGACGTCAACTATCAGCGTCATCACTGCCGTCATTATGACTGTATTATCGAGCTTTATGAAAGCACAAACTCTTTCTTTTCTTGCTTTCTGATACGATAACTGCCAGTAGTATCTTGATGAACTGAAAACCATGCAAATCAGATATGACATTTTTCTACATCAAATGCTAAAACAGACATTTTCTTCAGCTTTTTTTTCGCTTCTTTTGTTTCAGGATTCATTCATGTTGAGGATTTTTAAAAATGTGTCCAAATGATGGACAAGCATTCGTCCTTCAAACAAAGCCCAAACACTTTGGTCGTCAGCCACCGCAATTGGTTTCTGTCTGCTTAAGGCCTCGCTTCGATGTAGAGTGGGCGGGGGGTGGGGGTGGGAGTGGGGAGTCTGAGAGTTCTGTGGTAACCTAAATAATTACACGCCCTGTTCTCCCAGAGTGATTAATTATATCTGCAGAAAGGGATTTCTTATTTTAGAGTCCTCCACAGACAAGGGCTGGTGGGGAGAAAGACAAGGGGAGGGGGAAATAAAAAGACGACAAAATACACGGAGGCCCTTATCAAACCTTTCTTGACAGATTTAGGCTGTATGCAAGACTTGCAGAGTAATATCTTTTGCTTTCTGGTCAGCCTTGCGAGAGCGGCACCGAGGACATGAAGGATGAAGGATTTAAAGTGAATCAATGTTTCACAGTAGGCATAATTAACTGCATTTGAGGATCTTGACAGGATATTGGGAGAAATGTTATAGCGTTGCATTTGGCAATTGGGAAGGATTAGTGCCCCTCATGCCCATTACTTCACATCATTTCTTCATTTCCCTTATCTCGACATACCAGAGTGGCCTTTTCCAAAAAAAAATGTTTGTGAACATACATGTCTCAGTTGGCATGGAAAGGGTTTTCCCCCTCTGGATGACTGCACGGTTTCCCGATTTACCACATTGGAAACATGCGTTGGACTTTTGTTAGCATGAGGCTTAGCATGGAGTCGAGAGATTGGCATGGGAGGTAATGGCGGGATGAGAGGCCTCTTGGAAAATCTCTCGAGTCTGAATCCTCGTTGGCTTATTATGTGTCCCGTATGGGATACCCAGATTTGGATCCAGCAATTATGAATAGTGTCAACGCTCCAAAAACATGCAGTTATACGGAGAAAGATGGAAGTGAATGTTAATGGAAATGCAACTGGAAGTACTGCCTTCTTGTTGTAGGCCTCTCTGACAAATGGCATTTCTGTTTACATTCATCAATGCTGCTGTTGGAAAAGGGTTTTTTGTAAATGATTACAAGAATAAATTAGCCTTAAGATACAACAATGGCAAACATAGGTCTACAATATACAGTAGGGGGTGTCCCACAATCAATTAGAAGGCGTAATACCATAGACTGGATCCAATGGAGAAATGGACGGATGAAAGGGCGATGTGGTCTGAAAATAGGTGTGAATGGTTTAGCCAAATTTCAAGATACTGTTCAGATGTCAAGTTCACAAGAATGGTTTTGTCCGGGACATTTGGTTGTCACAATGAAACCAACCGATCCTTGGGCGATTTTTGAGCAATCGAAGTGGCCTCGATCTTTTTTTTTTTTCTCAGCACCATAATTTTATCAGTTCATCCTTGAGTCAAGGTGGCTATATGTGACAAAGCTTTAAAGAAATGCCTTGAGAAATTACTCATTTTGCATCAATTGGATGGACCAATGTCAAAAGAAATGGAAAAGAATGGCACGAAAGGAGAATGTTTACCTTTTTTAAACATGCATTTTAGTGATCTTAAATTCTTGGCAGGCGATTGGGCTTTGGTATGTCCAACAATCAAGTATTGGGTCCAAACCTGCCAGTCAGCTAGGGCCTTTATGTGTGGAGTTACCTCCCCGACATGCTGGTTAATTGGCAACTCTTAATCGTCTGTAGGTGTACATATAAGCTTGACCGGTTCTTCCTCTCTGTGTTCCAGGAGTGTGATTGACTGTCGACCTGTCTGCTTTGTCAGCTGGGATCCAATCCAACCCCCTATGACCTCCAAAAGAGTAAGCTGGGATGAACGCATGATGGATTGATGGAACATTCTCAAGACCATGACAACTATCCAGGTAGGACAAATGCGAACAAAAAGACCTTGTGTTTTTTGACATCGTGTTGGAGTTTAAATGTACTCGAAGAGGGTAAAAAAAAACGAAGTCATGGCCGGTCCAAAATGGGATTTACATGACTGAATACCCCCGTAAAAGAAGCACAATAGCAAGAAGCAACTGCAACAAATCTACCTCACTGATACTCTACTTTAAGGCGACCTGCAGGACTTATTATAATGATTAATTATATTTGCATAAAAAGTAGAGCCCCCAGTCTTTTATATGTACTCTGCACATCTTGTTTTACTCCCTGCTTTTAATCTATAGAATGGTGCACTGGCAATTCAATATATTTAAATAAATCAGGCAGAACTTTATTCTCATTCATCAAGGCAAGGGGAAGGGAGTTAAGGCCAGTGAGTGCAGATCACGGCTCAGTGGCACCGAGCATAGATCTCCAGCCTCTGGCTCTGCACTGAACTGCCAAATTTAGCACCAACCCCCCCCCCCCCCCTCCTCATTCAGTGTTCCTAAATGGCACGTAATCTCCAAAATGCTCTTAACCGTTTCATTGCTGTGGGAGTGCTGGTGACAGTAAGCCTGCCCATTATGTTGTGAAGCTGTCAACGCTTCTCTAACTTTATCCACTCACCCACTCGGGTTCGGATTCAGTATTTCATGGTTTTTCTCCATTAAGCCAAACTGGCTCAGGGTGCAGAGACAATAGAATGCTTCCTCCCCTGCTTCCCAACGGGGCGATTTCTGGCTGCTTTCCTTTTTTTTTTCTGTCTTTCGTAGCTGTACTCGGGTTTGAATGGGGCTGCTCATTCTAAGAATGCAGAAAATATGGCCCTAATATATCACTTCAGAAAGGGATCAAGCTCTTTAACTTCAATAAGATTGTACAGGTTTACAGCATGATTTACCAGAGTGATTGGCTACTTCCCTATTATGGCTATCAGATAATCACTTAAGGTCCTTGGGGGTCTTATAAACACCAAAAGTGGCCACTTTTTGGTAAAAATGCTCTTGTTGTTCTCAAAGGCATAATCATCAGGGCGCTTTTGGGCAGTTGCTGAGACTGTTTCTAAAGACCTGTTTCTAATTTCCTGTTTTGTTAAAGAAAATGTCTTACTAATGTCTCACAGTTCATTGATTGTGCCGCCATTCTGACTCCGTGGGAGATACTTGTGTCTGTTTTCTGAAGCCCAAAAGAATCCAAACTCTTTCTTGCAACAAACCCATTTCCGAATGTCAAGCTTCAGGTATTAAAGCATCAGAAAGTGATCACACCTTTCACCTCATATGAGATTGTATGGTTTTACGGCATGATTTTTCACAGACTAAAACTATATGTAACCCAGCACTAGCATCATTGATGGGCTTCTTGCCCAATTATGCTGTCAGATCATCCCTTTAGGTTGTTGGTGTAGCTTCACAGGCATGAAAAACTGCTATTTTGAGTTAAAAAGGTTGTCTTGTCAAAGGCGTAATTGTAGGCATTGAGATGCTATGATATTCCTCATGTCATGTTTGATCTTTTATTTTGAAAAATCTGTGACAGGTGACAATAATCTTTCAATGGATCCTGTTCCTCATGTCCCTGACTGTGTTCCTGAGAATATTCAGCAGATTTTACTTTATAGTTTTTTAGATAATTAAAGGTATAGTCTGCCCAAATTGCATTGGGACGCTATGATATTCCTCATGTCGTATTTGATATTTTAGTCATATTTGATCTTTTATTTTGAAAAATCTAACCTATAATTAAAGGTAAAGTCTGCTCAAACATAATTTCTTTTAGAAAATGGACTGTTTTTGACCCAGATGCTGAATCATAAATTGGGTGGCATGCCTTAGTAGTTGCCAGATCATTGCTTTAGTGTGTCAGTGTATCCTAACAATCAGTAATAGAAATTACGCATTTGGTAAGAAAATCATTATTGGCAGTTGGTGCAAGGCACAATTTCTCTCAGATAGACCAGGACATACTGTATGTCTCAGTTTGTTAGCTTGATGCTAACACATACTGAAAAATTGCAATTGCTGGCTAGGAGAATTAGCATCACATTGTTGTAAATTGAACTTCGGAAACAAAGTATTTTAATTAACAAAGTTGACAAACTACATATATACTCGTACTTCAAGGCATATTTTTCTGAAACACTTTGGAAAACAAACTTAAAAAACTGCTTACTCGTGCTGTTCTGGTCTGCTGCTCTGATCTACCTTAATTAATGATGCTTTTACACTGGCACAATACTGATATTTTCAGGAGCAGCATGTGTGAACGCAAACAGATGTTTAACTTGAACTTTATCTAGAGTTTGCCCTACCAGCCACCTAGTAGTAATTCCGCAGAAAGCCCGAGTGAGCTGATGGGAGAACGCAGCAGGATATTATCAGGAGAATTCAACTCCAGAGAATGACAGGGGGTGGTGACATTGCATGGATTTCAGGAGCACTCCTCCTGAAAATATGTGTAAATTTTAAAGAGTGCATATGAGAAAACGTTCTAACAGTCAATGCTCTGATCCAGTGACAATGCATGACTCGCTCTGTACAACTTGTATGTAGAGTCAATGGAGGCCCATGATGCAAACGTTTGCACCCAAGGCCAGCACTACTTCACCAATCACTTTAGACATGTAAACGTTTGAAATCTACATTTTTGTAATAATATTATATATATAATATAAATATAATTAAAATTGTACATGTTTATATTTGGAATGTAGTTTAAAAAAAATCTTATTCAGGGAAAGGCTGTCACTCTCCTTGTGGGGAGTGGTGAAAGGGCACCATTGCACCCTCTATTGACCAGCCGCCACTGGTAAAAATGTTGAGTCATTGTTTGCGAATGGCTAAATAATGGCACTTCTTCGTCACAGTACCTCAATTGCTCCGTAACCCAGACTCTGCAGGGACATTCTCATGTGTGAAGCAATACTTAAGGTAACTCTGCAGAATCCTGACACCTCCTAGAATGGGAGGTTATTTGTGTAAGAATGAAAAAAAGAAATGGAAATCTTTGCAATACATATACCCCTTTGGTGCAAGTGTTGCATCAAAGGTGGTCATATGAGAGAAGTACAACCTAAAGCGGCTTTATCAACAGGGGTGAAGCAACACCTGCCAATGAATGTCTTTGGTCAATTTTGGACGGTTGCTGTCTTCTATTGAAATTAACAGGTCATGGAGAGTGTATGCCAATCACTTCACTCAAAGCACCATCCACTGGGCTGCGTTTTGTGTCTTGTCAGTGGAGATTGTTTGTCATTTAGGACACACTTTCAAATAAATGAAAAGTGCTTTTGATTATCTTGCACTGGCGCCGGCCCATCTGGTCTTTGTGTGGGGAATTAGACTGTGGAGATTGGAAGCTCCATTAGACCTTCTTAACTGTCAAGCATCTCAGGGCCTTTTGCAGATAAAAAGCTGTCACGGCCAAATTTTTGGGGGGTAAACAAATAGGAGCCGAGTAGTTGAGATTGAAAAGTTGCGGATGCTTCCTAAAACAGGAGCTGTTGCATTTTTTAAACTGCTTTGATTATGTAATGCAAGTCACTGAGTTCTGGAGCTCAGAATCCTCCAAGTATTCTCAGTCTTGTTAGCATTCATTACCATTTTCTATTGGGAACAAGAAACACTTGTGCATACCCTGATCCAAACTCATGATTTAATTAAATGTGCTTTTAACAGTCTGCCAAATAATCTGAAGACAAAAAAAGGCTTGTTTGTGAGTGTATATAACTTTAATACAAGACACTAAAGTACCTTATTGACCCGATTCAAGCCTGCAACCATTGAAAAATGGGAAAAATTGTTTTTAGAATATCATTGTTCAAATATATTTCAGATATTTCTTAACAGGACTATTAGCTATGTTTTGGCCCCATTAGTGGAAGTTCTTCTGGAAATAACTTTAACCAATCTGTGAATGATGTCTTTTAGTCTCCTAAGAGCTTTTCCTCCCAGTTCATGTGTCAGACGATTGGCTGTTCCTTCCATTTCCGACTCCTGTGATACGAAAAGGTCACAATTTTGTGGAGAATTATGCAATTGAATTTACCTTAATATGAGTAGATATTGTTCATTTTCAGCCTTTTCAGTCCTGGGAATGGTAGAAGGGTGAAGGTAGAATGATATGAGACTGTTTCACTAAGATATTAAATTTTTAAGGAAGAAGGGCAATGGGGTTCAAGCCAAAGAAGGTTAAAAATTGAGATTGAAGCGCATAAAAATGGGAGACAGAATGAAGTCTCAGGGCTTGGAAAGGGAAATGGAAAGATTAAGGAATATGATATGTACATTTCAATGAAATAGAGCTTAACCAGCTGAGAATTCACTCCAAAGCCAAGAATCGCTGGATTGCTTGTAAAGAAGTTTCACTGGTTTTCAAACCTGGCAGAAGCTGTAACTTAAAACTGAACCATAAAGTGAAAGTTGCTTTGATGTATTTCCATTCATCTTTTGGAAAAGTATCCAACCCCTAAAAAAACTGAGTGGATTACTTACGTTTGGCACTCTTTGTTCTGATAATTGTGACACAAGTTGGGATGACTCAACAGGGAAAACAGGAATTTAAAAGGATATCAACTCTTCAATATGTACTGATGTTCAAGCACTGGCCGTTTCTCAAAAAGGCAAAGAAGAAAGAAAGGCTTATTCTATGTTTTAATATCTGTGAATTTTCTTTGAATGTAGCTTAAAAATGCTTTAAAAAATGGACGTGATTGGAAATAACTTAAAGTAATGAGGGAATTCTTACAGAAACACTGATTTGATAGCAAACATTAGTTAGTTATCGGTTACCAATGGTAGAAAATTGGATGGCTTTCTTTAAAATATGTAGAATATGAAACATTGGGACCAAAAATAAATCTCCTACCCTCGTTTTAAAACTAAGTCTTTGTAGTTAAGGTGATTTAAGGAGACTTTATGTTGTGTATACTGTCTAATAATTGGCTTGCTTATGGAAAAGTGATGAGGGA